GGAGGCTCTAAACCCCCACATATTATATATCATCTGGAAGCTCTTGATGAGAAGAATCTAACCTATGAAGTCGCAACATGATTCATGCAGTTCTGAAGAAGTTACGAGCTGTTGAAGTTCAAAAAGCTGTTTTTTACCTGCTTTTTCAAGAGCCTGGATCTCGGAGATGTTTCAATGGATCGGAACGGACAAGACATATTCTGATAAGGCAAACCTTACTCTATAAAACCTATGAAGTCGCAACATCATACACTTCCACATTCAAGATTTATAAGAGTTTAACTCTCAAAAGTCAAAAAACACGCAAAAATGGCAAAAAGTTTTAGAACTCTGGTTTTCAACGACTATCTCTTAAATCGACCCGATTCCTTCACTAGCTGATAGAGCAACATCTACTCTTCAAAACCTATGAAGTCGCAACTGCTGACATCTTCAAACAACAGATTTATAACAGTGGAAATTTCGCATGATTTTTCACTATTCAAATATTCAAAATTCTGGTTCTCGGCCGTTACTGCCTGGATCGACCTACTTCCTTCGCTATACGTTATAACATAATTTGCTTAATAAAATCCGTACAGTTTTGCTAAGCTTTACTTCCAAATACACCATTTACTAAAAACCTTTATTTTAAATATATATGCCGCCGTATACATAAATATATGCTTTCAATAATCTTTTTTGCGTTTGTTTTGCTTATTTTCCTTCTTTGTCGTCCAGCGAAAAATTTTTTATTCCAAAAGTGAAGGTGGTCACCCCGTACCAGCTCAAAAGTGAAGGTAGGGGGAGACTTGGCTCCCCCTATCGCACCTCTGGTGGTGTGTCAAGCGGTCCCACGCGGTAGTCATTGCTTGACACACCATGTGTGTCAAGCAGTCGTCAGTGTGATAATATAGTGCTTGCGCAGAAGGTGAAATACGGTAAATTTGCGACTGAAGAAGTAGCCACGCCAGTACTGCCTGTATTTTATTTTGTGCCCGCGACGTCACAGTTGAAACTATTTGTTTACGCGCAACTTTTACCGCATTTCACCTTCAGTGCAAGCACACTATATTAAGCGAAATCTACTCGACTGTACCTTCCAGGGCAACTTTTTCGCTTCGGAATCAATCTTTTGCAGTTCGACTTGGACGATCGCTCAATTAGGTGCTTTGCTATGACACAGTATAAAAATCTCATCATCCTCTACATGAGCGTAAGGTGCCTTTGACAGCTGGTACTAGAGTTCAAAGATCTAGGAGATAATAGAAAAAAAGAAAAACATAGCAATTTTTCAGACCTACTCTGGTCTGTTCTGTGTGGTCATCAATCCATACAAACGTCTTCCGATCTACACCGAATCTGTGGCGTCGATGTTCATGGGCAAAAGGCGAACAGAAATGCCTCCGCATCTGTTCGCCGTATCCGATTTGGCCTACAGAAACATGCTTCAAGATCATGAGAATCAGTCTATGCTGATCACAGGAGAATCTGGAGCCGGAAAGACTGAAAACACCAAGAAAGTAGGTTTTATGACCACTGCATTAGTACGGCAGAACTATATTCAACTTCTCCAGGTAATTGCCTATTTCGCCAACGTTGGTGCTACCCAGCAAGGTGGCGCTGCTGCCGAACCTGGAAAAAAGAAGGTCACACTAGAGGATCAAATTGTCCAGACTAACCCCGTATTGGAGGCATTCGGTAACGCCAAGACCGTCCGTAACAACAACTCGTCCCGATTCGGAAAATTCATTCGAATCCACTTCAACAAGGTTGGACGTCTGGCCTCTTGCGATATCGAGCACTACTTGCTTGAGAAATCTCGTGTGATTCGTCAAGCTCCGGGAGAACGTTGCTACCACATTTTCTACCAGATTTTCTCTGATTTCAAACCTGAGCTGAAGAAAACGCTTCAACTTGACAAACCTCTGAAGGAGTACTGGTTTGTGGCCCAAGCTGAACTGACCATCGATGGTGTCAACGACAAGGAAGAGTTCCAAATGACCGACGAGGCTTTCGATATTCTGAACTTCTCACCCGAAGAAAAGATGAACTGCTATCGTCTTATGGCTGCTCTCATGCATATGGGTAACATGAAATTCAAACAGCGCCCACGTGAAGAGCAAGCCGAACCAGATGGTACTGATGAAGCCGAGAAAGCGTCCGCCATGTACGGTGTAAACGCCGAGGACTTCATTAAAGCGCTCACAAAACCGCGTGTAAGAGTCGGAACCGAATGGGTGAATAAGGGACAGAATATGGAACAGGTCAATTGGGCCACCGGTGCCATGGCCAAGGGAGTTTATGCTCGTATCTTCAACTGGTTGGTCAAGAAATGTAACCTTACCCTTGATCAACATGGCGTCAGCCGTGACTACTTCATCGGTGTGTTGGACATCGCCGGTTTCGAGATCTTCGACGTAAGCCTACAAATGTTTTCTCCAAATTTCATTGGTCCAAATTCTCTAACTTACAGTTCAACTCCTTCGAACAGTTGTGGATTAACTTCGTAAACGAAAAACTGCAACAATTCTTCAACCATCACATGTTCGTCCTGGAGCAGGAAGAATATGCTCGAGAGAGTATCCAGTGGACTTTCATCGACTTCGGTCTCGACTTGCAAGCTTGTATCGAACTGATTGAAAAGGTATGTCTAACTCTTGGCTTTTGACTGTTTCTGATGAGAAATCTCATCGTAGGTCTCAAATATTCATACATAATTACGAAATTCACTTCGAACTCTCGCCCATGCACACTTATCAGATAGGTAGGCCTGTGGAGAGTACGGTATGGGCGAGAGTTTCGACTTGAATTCTTCGGTCATGAATAAAGCAAATGACTTGCCGTTTGGACAAGAGCTTAGCTGAGGCCTTCCAATCGGTATCCACACAGGATATCCACGAAACCAAGATACACGTGGACATTGCTATGAAATACTCATGTCTGTCTTTCGAAGATCTTTTTTTATTGAGTGGAGACTCATTGGGAAGTTCTATTAGGTTGTAAAGAAAGTTCCCGTGCACTTTTGGAAATTTCATATTCAAACGCATTTTTTCGGCGCCCAGTCGGACTTTGACACCAAGTTTTATATACTGTTCAGCAGAGGGGAGCCTAAAGTTTCCAATACGGCTTTTAGTTTTCGTCGATGCCAAGACGTTTTTGATCTGCACATCAAAAAGAAAAATCTATCCAACCACAAATTTACAATTTTTCTTCCTAGGGCCATTTTTTGCGCAGTTCAAAGAAATTCGTCTTAATCATGGGTGATCTGATTGAGAAGACTGTTAACTTCTGCACTCGAGTTTTGCGATTTGCGCTCAGAAATAACAAGTTGTCAAACTTGCCTCTGATTACAACTCTTTTCGAAGCTGGCGCTTCTGCGGGGATCGCCACGCCTGATAGATGGGTCCAAGAGATGTGCAAGGCATTAGTCCAACAATGTTTGCAGTAATCAAAGATTTACTCCACCCTTTGCGGAACGACAAGACTTCAAAATCAATAACTCGTAAAATGGTGCATTTTGCGGGGCAAAAAATGGTCGATTTTTCAGACTTTCTAGGAAAAAATTTTTTGCAGGTCGTCCTGCAAAAACATGAATGGCCCCCATAACAGCCCCAGCAGAATTCTATTAGGTTGTAACAAAATTAATGCAGGTTTTTCCAAATTGAGTTTGGACTACTATAACTTTCACAGAAATAGTCAATCCGTTTCTAATGAAAACTAATGCAATCAGCAAACCTTTGGCAAATTAGTACGCACTACTCTGTCGCTGTAGCTTCACTGAGAAAAACTTTACAGCCCAAAGACTGCCAAAAGTTTTCTTGGAAAGACTTTAGTTTGAGAAACCATAACTTACCACACAATTCAGTAAGATGATACAAACTTCGCTCAATGTGTACACAATAGTCAGTTGTGAAACAGCGTTGAGCTTGAATTTTACGAAAACATTTCTGCTAAAAAATGTTGCAAAAAACTTGTTATCAGTCATACTTATTGTGCTCTGGAGAAGCGAGGAAGTCTTTTTTGCTGTTTTTTGAATTTTTTTCCACCAAAGAGAATAACAGCTTCCCGTTTTTTTGCTTTCAAATGTCCTAAGTCTCTCGTTTCTGCACTCGGCGAAAACTCTGCGATTGCTTCACACTTGGGATTTTTATACGCCGCAGATTGATAGATCGATTATTTGGGTTTGAATTGAAATTTCTCAGTCTGGAAACTTCTGAAAAATCTGCCGCAATGTGCGTTTTATAGAACAAGTTACATACAAATATTATGCCGGTTTGCGATGAATTGCAAATTTTTGGGGTAAATTTTGAGCAAAAAGTCAAAAAGGGAAAACTTCAGAGTCTAGCTTCTCGATTTCAAAAGCACGTGATCTCGAGATGAATCCACTAATCTGAAATGAAAGCATGCACAATAAACTAGAAGAAGAGTGCTTCCAGTGCTTTGATATAAATACATATCTTTCTAAGACAATGGAAATTTATTTTGAACCAGCCCTTTCAAAAAGGGTGTGAAAAACCTGTATTAATTCTGTTACAACCTAATGTATAACTACAGCATCTGGGGTCTTCAGCTGTTATCCTGCCTGAGATAATCCTGCACAAATAGAACAACTTTCGCGACGACCTTTCTCCCTTCTGCGCATTCTAGTGGACCGCAGTGAGGTGCTGAAAAGCCAGCAAGACAAATATATGTCGCGAACAACATTGTCTTTGCAATGAAGTTTGTAGCATTAAAAAAGAATCAATCTACTAGAAGTTACAGCGATTTGAAAAAAATTTTCGCAAGTGCCCGGGAACTTTCTTTAAAACCTAATATGTATTTATCCATGACCGAAAAAGCCAATTTCAAACTCTTGCCCACACCCACCCTTCATATGGGCAAGAGTTTGGATTCAGTCTTCTCGGTCATGAATGAAGCATATGAATTGCCGCTTGAACAATGGCTTGATTATATCCTTCCAAACAGTTTCCACATAAAAAATTGAGTATCTAAACGCTCCTAATTTTCTTATATTTCAGCCCCTTGGTATCATCTCCATGCTTGATGAAGAGTGTATCGTCCCCAAGGCTACTGACATGACGCTGGCGCAGAAGCTGAACGATCAGCATCTTGGCAAACACCCGAACTTCGAGAAACCCAAACCACCAAAGGGAAAACAGTCCGAGGCTCACTTTGCTATGCGTCACTACGCCGGAACTGTACGATACAACGTAACGAACTGGCTCGAGAAGAACAAGGACCCCTTAAACGACACCGTTGTCTCCGTCATGAAACAATCCAAGGGTAACGATTTGCTTGTGGAAATCTGGCAAGACTACACCACTCAGGAAGAAGCCGCCCAGAAAGCCAAGGAAGGTGGTGGCGGCGGTAAGAAGAAGGGAAAGTCTGGGTCGTTCATGACTGTCTCTATGCTGTATCGTGAGTCACTGAACAACCTGATGGGTATGTTGAACAGAACACATCCCCACTTCATCCGTTGCATCATCCCTAACGAGAAGAAGACGTCTGGATTGATTGACGCGGCTTTGGTGCTTAACCAGCTGACATGTAACGGTGTACTGGAAGGTATCCGTATTTGTCGTAAAGGTTTCCCGAACAGATCTCTTCACCCGGATTTCGTACAACGTTATGCCATCCTGGCCGCTAAAGAAGCCAAGTCGGAAGAGGACAAGAAGAAGTGCGCAGAGGCCATGCTGTCGAAGCTGGTGAATGAAGGCTCGCTAGCGGATGACATGTTCCGTATTGGTCTCACCAAAGTGTTCTTCAAAGCCGGAGTACTGGCCCATCTTGAGGATCTGCGTGACGAGAAGTTGGCCATTATCATGACTGGATTCCAAGGACAAATCCGTTGGTACTTGGGACTTGTGGACCGTAAGCGACGTATGGAACAGAAAGCTGGACTGCTCATTATCCAACGCAACGTCCGTTCATGGTGCACCCTCCGAACCTGGGAATGGTTCAAGTTGTACGGTAGAGTCAAGCCATTGCTTAAAGCAGGAAAGGAAGCTGAGGAATTGGAGAAAATCAACAAGAAGGTCGAGGAACTCGAGGCCAGCTTGTCTAATGAAGAGAAGCTGAGAAAGGAGCTCGAGGATAACGCTACCAAGCTGTTGGAGGAGAAAAATAATCTGTTCACACAACTTGAGGCTGCCAAGGGACAATTGTCTGAGGCTGAGGAACGGTTGAACAAGCTAAACTCACTAAAAGGAGATGCTGATAAACAACTTGCGGTAGGTCCTACATAGAATTTTCCCATTCATAAATTCCAAACATGTTTATTTCTTGTTCAGGAGTTGAACGAACGCCTTGCTGAGCAAGAAGACCGAAACGCCGATGTCCAGCGAGCCAAGAAGAAGGTCGAAGCGGAACTCGACTCGCACAAAAAACAGATCCAAGAACTCGAGATGAGCTTGCGCAAGGCCGAATCTGAGAAACAATCCAAGGATCACCAAATCCACTCGCTTCAAGATGAAATGCAGCAGCAAGATGAGGCCATCGCCAAGCTTAACAAGGAAAAGAAGCACCAAGAGGAAATCAACCGCAAGCTTATGGAGGATCTCCAGTCGGAAGAGGACAAGTCGAACCACACAAACAAAGTGAAAGCCAAGTTGGAACAGACCTTAAATGATCTCGAAGACAACCTCGAACGTGAGAAGAGGTCTCGGGCTGATCTTGATAAGCAGAAGAGAAAGGTTGAGGGTGAACTGAAGATTGCGCAGGAGAACATTGACGAGGCTGCTCGACAACGTCACGATCTCGAGAACAACCTGAAAAAGAAGGAAAGCGAACTACATTCCATTAGCAGCCGACTGGAAGATGAGCAAGCTCTTGTGAGCAAGCTCCAGCGACAAATCAAGGAGGGACAAAGCCGTATATCTGAATTGGAAGAGGAACTCGAAAGCGAGCGCCAGTCTCGTGCCAAGGCCGACCGTGCTAAATCTGATCTCCAAAGGGAATTAGAAGAGCTAGGCGAACGTCTTGATGAGCAAGGTGGAGCCACTGCTGCTCAGGTTGAGCTGAACAAGAAGCGCGAAGCCGAGCTCGCTAAGCTACGCCGTGATCTGGAAGAGGCCAACATGAACCATGAGAACCAGCTAGGTGGACTGAGGAAGAAGCACACCGATGCTATCGCCGAACTGACTGACCAGCTTGACCAACTGCAGAAGCAGAAGGCCAAGATTGAGAAGGAGAAGATCCAAGCCCATAAAGAAGCCGAAGACCTCGCTGCACAACTCGATGCCGAGACTTCTGCCAAGCTGAACAACGAGAAGCTTGCCAAGCAGTTCGAACTGCAGCTCACTGAGCTCCAAGCCAAATGCGACGAGCAGTCGCGACAACTGCAGGATTTCACTTCACTCAAAGGGCGTTTGCACACCGAAAACACCGACATCGCTCGTCAACTCGAAGATGCCGAATCACAGCTGAACCAATTTTCGCTTCTGAAGAGCCAGCTGACCAGTCAGCTCGAAGAAGCTCGCCGAACTGCAGATGAAGAAGCCCGTGAGCGCCAAACCCTCGCTGCTCAGGCTAAAAACTACCAGCACGAGGCTGAACAGCTGCAGGAGAGCTTGGAAGAAGAGATCGAGTCGAAGAACGAGATCATGCGCCAGCTCGGCAAGGCCAATGCCGAGATCCAGCAATGGAAAGCTCGATTCGAAGGCGAAGGCCTTATCAAGGCTGATGAGCTCGAGGATGCGAAGAGACGTCAGGCTCAGAAGATCAACGAGCTCCAAGAGGCTCTTGACGCCGCCAACTCCAAGATCGCTTCGCTTGAAAAGACCCGAAGCCGTTTGGTTGGAGATTTGGATGATGCTCAGGTTGATGTGGAACGCGCCAATGCCTTCGCCAACTCTCTCGAGAAGAAACAGAAAGGCTTCGACAAGATCGTTGACGAATGGAGAAAGAAGACTGATGACCTCTCGGCCGAACTTGACGCAGCTCAGCGAGAAGCTCGCAACATTTCCACCGAACTCTTCAAGGCCAAGAATGTCCAAGAGGAGCTGCACGAGGTTGTTGAAGGACTGCGCCGTGAGAACAAGAGTCTCAGCCAGGAAATCAAGGACTTGACCGATCAACTTGGTGAAGGAGGACGATCCGTGCATGAAATGCAGAAGATCATTCGCCGTTTGGAAATCGAGAAAGAGGAACTGCAACATGCGCTAGACGAGGCTGAAGCTGCCCTGGAAGCTGAGGAAAGCAAGGTGCTTCGAGCGCAGGTTGAGGTGTCACAAATCCGCTCGGAAATTGAGAAGCGCATCCAGGAGAAGGAAGAGGAGTTCGAAAACACCCGTAAGAACCACCAACGTGCCATGGAGTCGATGCAGGCTTCACTGGAGACCGAAGCCAAAGGAAAGGCTGAAGTTTTGAGAGTGAAAAAGAAGCTCGAGGCTGACATCAATGAACTTGAAATTGCTCTCGATCATGCGAACAAGGCTAATGCTGATGCGCAGAAGAACTTGAAGAAGTACCAGGAACAGATTCGCGAGTTGCAGCTCCAGGTTGAGGAGGAACAGAGGAACCGTGACGATATTAGAGAGCAGTTCTTCAACGCTGAAAAACGCGCCACCGTGCTTGAATCGGAGAAGGAAGAACTTCTTGTAGCTAATGAGGCAGCCGAACGAGCCCGGAAGCAAGCCGAAAATGAAGTTGCTGAGAGTCGCGACCAGGTTAACGACCTTACCGGACAAGCCGCTTCACTAGGTGCCGCTAAGAGAAAACTCGAAGGAGAAATACAGGCTATCCATGTGCGTAAAAAGATATTTACAGTTTGTAGGCTTACGGTTCAATATAGTGCATCTGCGGTGAAGACAACACTTGCGCGAAAAATACAAATGGCACGCAAAAGTCAAAAATATGCGCTGGACATATTTTACGCCCAAATGTGTGATACCAACCGCCATCAACAGTCTGATAGATGAGTTTAGTTGTGCATCTGCGTGCCGGCAATATTCGAGCGTGATTAACGGGTATGGCGCGCAAAATTTGAAAATGTTGAGTTTGGGTAGAGGACTAAATGTCGCCGAAAAAAGGCGGTCCCCGCGGTCATTTGCGACAAATGCGCATCCTTGTACATGCGCGGACATGCGTTCCTGCAGGGAATCCGCGCGGGACTCTTCCAAATTCGGCGACATATAGTCCTCCACCCCTTGAGTTTTTATTTTACGTCAAAATGTAACAACAACATAGATGACGGAGTCTGCATTTGCACTGTCAACGACATTAGGGCGTAAATAACGGGCGCAAAGCTTGGAAATGCGCGATTCTAAGCTCCGATGTTGCTGACACCTCCAGGAAACTATTGACCATCAAACCAGACTATATCTTCCTCATCTTTTCCACAACATTATGGTTCTCGCTCTAGGCTGACCTTGATGAAACCCTTAACGAGTACAAGGCTGCTGAAGAACGTAGCAAGAAAGCCATGGCTGATGCTGCCCGACTTGCCGAAGAACTTCGTCAAGAACAAGAGCATTCAATGCACAATGAGGGCTTGCGTAAAGGACTTGAGCAACAGCTCAAGGAAATGCAAGTGCGTCTTGACGAAGCCGAGGCCGCTGCACTCAAGGGAGGAAAGAAGGTAGTGTTATCATCCATATATGAAAACTCTCAACCCTTCGAAAATGGCTTTTAAGGTGATCGCCAAATTAGAACAGCGCGTGCGCGAGGTAGAATCTGAACTGGACGGGGAACAACGCCGCTACCAAGAAGCTAACAAGAATCTTAGCAAAGCAGACCGCCGAGTTCGGGAACTGCAATTCCAGGTATGGAGGGCACTAGACTTATGTGGACACCATTTTTGGAGACCTTAACTAAGCCAATGCCTAAGCGACAGCTTGCCTAATTCAATTTTTCAAGTCTCGCCCAGTACCGTGCTCGCGGACGCTGAACGGAAAGAGTACGGTAGTGGGTGTGAGTTCGGAGTGATATATTCCGGCCTTGAATAAATTACAAAAGCTGCCGTTTGGACAACAGCTTAGCTAAGACTTCTCTTCCACATAGAAAGTACAGCACTCGGATTTGCCTGCATACAATTTTCCGTTAGAAACTGATCCTTTACCTTCCTTCAGGTTGACGAGGACAAGAAGAACTTCGGCCGCCTACAAGACCTAATCGATAAACTGCAAACGAAACTGAAGACGCAAAAGAAACAGATTGAGGAGGCGGTAAGCTCATAATTCTAAAGTTAGTCTCGTTGCTCTTGGCCGGCAGTCACAGAATTTCACTTAGCTTTCGGCTCAAATGACATGCTCACACAGCTGTGCACAGTTGTCCCCGAGTTGTCATCGAAGAGTATCATAAGAAAGCTAACGCTTCACAGAGAAAGCGAAGTAGAAGAACCCGCTTGCCTTTATGACAGAACGGACATTTCAAGTTTTTTTTGTATTTCAGGAAGAAGTCGCCAACTTGAACTTGCAAAAGTATCGCCAGATCCAACATCAACTCGAAGATGCCGAAGAACGTGCCGATGTCGCTGAGAATTCGTTGTCGAAGATGAGAGCCAAGTCACGATCCAGCGCTTCCTTAGCTCCCGGAGGTGGTGGTCTCCAAACCTCCCAATCCGCCACAGTAATGCGATCGGCTTCTCGTTCCCGTGCCAGTGCCGCCGACTTCTAATTTCTTTTGCTCATTCTATCGCCTTATACATCAATTTCACGCACATAGTTCTCTATCATAAGTGAAGAGTGTGATATTTTATTTTCTTTTTGTAATAATTAGTGCATAGTACTGTCGACTAGTCCAGGACGCAGACTTATTCCGCGTCTCATTTCACTGTGAGAGACGATGGTGCCCAAGGTTGAGTGCTATTGTTCCACATTTTTTCACACGATCTTCTAGATTTGTATGAAATTCACCTCCGCACACGCTCAGCTTAAAGATAGCCTTATAAAGTTTGTGTACTATTGTTTGATACATAGCACATACATATATGAACGGAGATACTATCACAAAACAGAAAATTCAACCGATGCATTCCCACAAACTGAGAAGAAAATATTGGAGCATAGAAATGAGATGGCTAAACATAAATTATTTGAAAAAATGGAATCAGTGCGGAAAAATACGGAATTCAGTACCGTTGTTTTCAATACGCATTGGTCTTTTCTACCATATACCTTCCAGCCTCAACATGACGTAGATTGGTGCGGCGCCGCCTCGCTTCGGGCCTGCGCCACGTAGCGGATGCTCGTTTGGCGTGGCGTGGCGAGAAAATAACGTGGCGCAAGCCCGAAGCGATGCGGCGCAACACCAATCCACGTCATGTTGAGGCTGGAAGGCATACGGTGAAAAAGACCAGTACGTATTAAGAACAACTGTAGTTCATTTATGTACCATATACAGGGTGTCCCGAAAAAATGTGAACACTGTTTGATCGTTAATAACTCCATTGCTTTCATGTCTTTCGCCAAGCTTGAGGACATTCTGTAGAGCGAGGTTCAACTTAGATTTATAGTACGGAGCAAATCACGATCACTCTTCGTTACTGTAGCATTACGGTGAGAACTTCTAGCATGTGGACCCATTGTAAAAAATGCCATTCCATAAAATTTTTCCCAAAAAATCTGAAAAATCGTGTATTAGGGTTTTTGCGCACGCTGATTCCACTGCACAACTTATTACGAGTGTTCTTAGCTTTTTTGACGGTGTAATCACATTCTTGACAAATGCTGGGAATTCAGTTATTACGATTTACCTGGGACAACCTTAGAAAAAGCATCACAGTGGAAATTCCATATTCGCAATCAGCGGCTTCCATTACTATAGTACAAGAGTTTTTGGCCTGTTTGGTTTTGTTTCGAAGCAAAATATGGCCTCCAATGGCCTAAAATGGTTGTCAAAATTGCTACCGTAATCTTACAGTAATGAAAAGCGATTGATGATTCGCTCCATACTGTATGTCTAAGTTGAACCTCGCTCTATAAAATGGTGCCTCAAGCTCGGCGAAAAGCTTGAAAGCAAAGGAGCTATCAACGATCAAACAGTGTTCACATTTTTTGGGACACCCTGTATTGTGCTGCGCAACAAGATGAAGGTGCCGCTCGAAACCATCAGCAACAAATAGTGCTATTGTACAAATTATGCGCAACAAGTGACGGTGCTGCTCAACTTCATCCGCAACGAGTGATGGTGATGGTCAGCACCACTCGCAACAAGTGACAGAGCTAATTAACACCATACGCAACAGCTAACGGTGCTGAGACACCATACGCCACAGATAAGGGTGCTGCGCAACACCATAAGCCAAAGATAACCGGGGTCAAGCGTGGGGTGCGGCACGTCACACCTGGGGGTCGTATTGAGGAGCCAAAAGGGGAGGAGGTCGTAGTTGGGTAATCTGATAATAGTGATAACATGATATCGTTTGCTCGCTTTCGCTAGAGTGGGCGGAGCACTGTCTACGTACACGCGCGGCGGCTTTGGATGGCGAGAGAGTACAAAAAATAATGCTCTAGGATGGAGGTTTATCGACCGATTACATGTCATGTCATGTCTGCAGTGGTCCGCCCACTCTAGCGAAAGCGAACGAACGATATTCGTATCATATCCATAATTAGCATGTCAATTAACCCCTGTAGACAGTGTGAGCGAACTCTGAAGATTCAAGATACTAGGCTACCTAAATGAAACGGTCAAATTCCAACATGGTTGACTTTGTTTCAAAGGTGAATTAGCTATCCTGCACTCAGGACAAAGCACTACTCCTTCTTTGTCCAACTCAGGAATCCCGCCTCAGAAGACCTGCAAACTGTGGAATTAGAAGCCAACCAAAATCTGTTTTTCCCATTTTTCACTTTTGATCGCTGTGCTTTCACCAAATATTACTTAGAGCTAAGAAGACAAATCAGGCTCCAAACAATCCTATGGAATCTACAAGGTTTAGGCTATCGATTCATATAAATACTGTCCGCTAAAAATGTTTTTTTGATATAGTTAATGGGATGCGGCACACCCCCTTAACTTGCCTTCAAAATCCAGAAAGCGCTATTGCTGGTATGAGTATTGAGCACATAGCTTCTTCTTGCTACCTTGGAAATTTGGAGCCGAACGCCCCACCCATAAAAAAATTATGGCCCTTTCAGTATGCCCATTCAGATCAAAATCAGCCGTCAAATTACGTGTGATTGTAAAGTGCAGTCACAGAAAATCGGGCGTACAGCTCTAAGAAATCTGAAAACTCTCTAGAAAAAGATGGTGTCCTCCAGAATGTCACACTTTGAGGTCCAGAGGTTAAGAGGAGGAAGAAGGGGTCGTTTGAGGGCTTTCATGGTGGGGGTTCGAAAGACTTGTTCCTGACCCCTTTCTAAACTCTGGTAATGCTATTTTAGGTATATAGTTCAGAGGGGCGGGTCTTATTAAGACAGCAATCAGCGGGGGGGGGGGGTCGTACCCAGCGATCGTGTGCCACATCCCTTGCTTGACCCTGAAGATAACGGTGCTGCCCAACACCATACACCACGGATAGCGGTGCTGCCCAACACCATACGCAACGGATAGCAGTGCTGCGCAACACCATACGCAACAAATGATAATGATTACTGCACGAAGAAGTGGTACCGCTAGGCGTACTGCTAGACATTTTGCGGCATGTGATAATACAGGGTGTCCCAAAAAATGTGCTTACTGTTTGATTGTAAGTAACTCTCTTGTATTGAAGTGTTTCAAGATGCTTTAAGTACCGTTTTGTAGAGCGAAGTTGAACTTAGATTAACAGTATGGAGCGAATCATCTGTCGCTCTTCGTTACTGTAGGATTACGGTAAGAACTTTCAGCATATGGAATCAATGTGAAATATACCACCTAACAAAATTTTTTCCAAAAAATTCGAAAAACCGTGTAATAGGGTTTTCGCTGATGCTGATTGAGCTGCTGATTCCACCTAACAAGTCTTACGAGTGTTCTGAGCTTTTTTGACGGTGTAATTACATTTCTGCCAAATGCTGAGAATTGAGTTATTACGATTTACCGGGAATAACTTTGGAAAGAAGCATCATAATAAAATGAGAATTTCAAATTTGAAATCAGCGGCTCTCATTACTATAGTATAAGAGTATTTGGCTTGTTTGGTTTTGTTCCGAGGCAGAATATAGCCTCCAATGGCCTAAAATCCTTGTCGAAGTTCGTACCGTAATCCTACAGTAGCGAAGAGCGATAGATGATCCGCTGCATACTGTTAGTCTAAGCTTAACCTCGCTCTATAAAACGGTACCTACACCTTTTCGAAAGACTTTATTACAAGAAAGTTATTTACAATCAAACAGTAGGCACATTTTTTGGGACACCCTGTATAATTCCCCTTTAATATTGTGAATGTCTACGAGTCCTGATACTTCCTTATTTATAACTAGTTGATCTGCCCGGTCCAGCCCGGGAATGATCACTGAAGATAAGGTATGTGCACTGGTGGCCAGCACATTACTGCCTACTCCCCACCCCGGCTCGTGTTATAGATGCTTACCTCGAGACAAAACTTCTCTCGCAGCTGAGAAGGAGATGGTAGATAATCCATCGCGCTTGTCTCTCATCAGATTGTTCGTCAACCACGAATGTACTTGTAAGCCTTTGGGAATGAAAGCAACTGGCCAGCATATCACCTATCAAAGTATTGAGGTTCATTTTTAACATGCTTTCCCCTGTCTGGTTACTTTAACAATTCCGCACTACAACGCCGTTCATTTCATGGAACCCAAAAGTATATTTTTTGTCGTCTACCAACACCGCAAGCGTAAAAGTGGGTTTTTGCAATTTCTTCATTTTTATTCTAGTTTCAAGCATTTTCCGCATCTTATCAACTCAAGATAATACAGTTTGCTGCTATTAGACATTCAATATACTATTATTAAAAATGTAAGGGCTTTTTGTTGCTGTTCGCAACATTTCAACCGAATCATTTACGCTCATTTGCACATAGACCCTCTTCTCAAACGTATGCAAAAGCGACTTCCAAGATATGCGGTATCCATAAGCTCGCGGAAAGACACACACAGACACGCATATGAATGTATATATTATTTTCGAACACATCTGGATACCTACTTAAAGTGCGCTCCCTGTCACTGCTCTCTGCTTGCAAAAACTTAGAATAAGACGTACCGCTCCCCTGCACTCTATTAAGCAAACGATCTGTTAAGCTTTCACTTTCCTCTATGAAAGTAAACAAATCAGTAAATCGATAGAAGGACTCAGTGACTCGCCGCAAAAAGTAGCCTATCTTCTACGCCGTGGCTTGTTTATGGGGAGCAAATTTCAGCCTCATCGGCTCACAAACAAAAGAGTCTATAAGCCACATACTTACATACGAACAAATTTACAGAAATTGAGTTTTATTTATATATAGATTGTTATGCCAACTCGCTCTCGAGGAGATGTTTCGCTTTGGGTTCCTTCATACTACGCCGCGCACGCCGCGCACACCGCGTACGCCGCTACAGCGCAATGGAAATAGTTATGCTCACGGCAGCAGAACTCCACTTTTTTAAATGTATCTCTATAATTGCTTATTATTACGAGCGTCATTTCATCATTTATTTCTGTACAGTTTTGACACCAGATACGTTAACATTGTGAATGCGGAGTGAATGCAGGTTGTAGACATTTCCTCTCCATTACTCTCCTTTTTTACATACTCTCACGAGTAAAATGACGACACTGGCAATCAAAGAGTTCACATGTTCACTGATTTTTTAGGGATGAATCCGTCGAAGATCCTGTTGATGCTCTGGAAGTTTTCGAAGCAGCTAGTAGCTGAAGTAGCTGAAGTCAGCGCCGAAACTTGAATGATGTTTTGTGAGCGAAGAAAACAAACTGCGGCAACAACGGCGCATCAAATTTGCAATTGCAGTCTAACAATATGAAGAAGAGAAATCCTTTTCATCCAGTGATGTGTTTGCAAGGAGATGTTAACAGCGCAAATATAACAGACAACACATACAACCAGATACAACATACAACCATACTACTATATACTACCAATATACAACCAGATGACGCAATGTGCAGTCAGTTACGATACAAAATGTGAAACTCAAAAGTAGAGGGAGCACAACAGCCTAAGTCATTCCATCAATCATTGATATAAAAAAGGATAGACAGGATAAACAAAGCAAAAGAGAGGAAGAAATGCATAATGTGAAGGAACACTACTGAGGGACACGAATGTGCAGCAAATATAGAGATACATTAAAAAAGTGGATATCTGCTGCCGTGAGCATATTTCCATTGCGCTGCAGCGGCGTACGCGGCGTGCGCGGCCTAGTATGAAGGAACCCTTTGACGTCAGTTGGCAAAGGTAATGAGAACGAACGTGCAGGAGCAGCGCAGGAAGTATAAAAAGCCGCGTGTAAGGCTCGCGAAAAAATTTGGTATGTCGTACGCACAGTACGAGTGTTCTGACGATGAAAACCGTCTTGGCAGTTTTATGATGGCATATGTGTGCAAGAATATTGCACGAATATTATGGCAACTTACAAAAGAAAGTGGAGAGACCGGCCTGAGATAAAGTTTTCACTAAGTACGACGTAAATTTGCGAAAAAAATTTGGTATGCCTCTCCGAAATCTTGAGAGGTCTGTTCCCCATCCCTCCTTCCATTCCTCCTCTCACCTCTCTCATTTAGGAGTCGTCACTGTAGTGAAAACTTGACATGGAAATCAGTCATAAAAAGCTTTCTAAAAGCTACATTTCTCAAAACTTACAGTCGTTCTCGATACGTACTGGTCTTTTCTATAGAAGGCATACGGTAGAAAAGACCAATAGAAAAAACCAATATGTATTGAAAACTACGGGCGCAGGCCACGTGATGTCGAGGCTGGAAGGCATACGCTAGAAATGCCAATAGAAAAGACCAATATGTATTAAAGACGACTGTACAGTTGAGTCTAATTTTAGTATACACCAAGCTGGTACCACTACGTTAATAACTTTACTCAATACCCTAAAATCCGTACAATAAGTCCGGACTTATCTGCAGTTTTGACACGAAAAATCGATGAAAAATCGTCTTCTGCGCCGCCAAAAGTCTTGCAGATAAGTCCTCCTGAATCCTTTATCAGATAAGTCCGCAGCAGATAAGTTCGCCTATCCTGAGCATGAGAAAGCGGACTTATCTGCAGGGACTCTTGGCGGCGCGAGGGCGTCTTTCGTTGTCAAGAAAGCGGACTTGCCAGGTCTGTTGCGGACTTATCTGCTAGGTGGACTTATCTGATAGGCGGACTTATTGTACGGATTTTAGGGTAGTAGCGGAGCAGCCGCTGACTATCAACAGGGAATATGTGGAACAGCCGCTGACGATAGTGGTAATTAATAATCGAACCAACACCAGAAGAGAGTATACAGACCCTTTTATGCCACCATTTTGGGCATGGATAACCTGAATGCTCATTTCTGGCAAATAAGTAATAGTATCATACAGAATCAAGAATTGCCTACATGAAAGTAGGCGCCGCCAAGTAGACTATCAAGCACAGTGGAGGGGCGACCTGGCGGCATAAGTGGTCATGAACAGTAACGTTTGTCAACGACAAGCTATCAGATATACTGAATACCGGATATACCGTGCATGATGAATCTACAGTGATAAAGGATGTAGATTATTTGGATCTACAACACTCATTCATTCCGGTGCTACATCCCAGGTTAAAATTTGCGTCGACATGTTCGGGATGATTTTCCAATTGCAGTTGGGAAATCATCCCAAACATGTCCATGGACTTCGTGAGAGAACGTGTTCGAGATGCAGTCGATGTTAATTACCCACTCCCTTCCGGGTAGGTATATAACCAACGAGAAATCAAGCCAGACGCTCGCGAAGATGGGGCGAAGCTCTAGCGTGACCACTCAGTCTACGGAAAAGGGAGCTCGGAGACACAGGTTGTAATTTGCACCTCCTTGTGCGGACACCGTTGAGACTGAGGATTTGGAAAAAAATAGGGCCTTCCTTCATTTGGACTCTTCAGGAGGTTGGAGACAAAAACTCCATAAATGAGGGATTGATTAAGTTGTCTTGGGACTTTGCTGAAGAAAAACAGAAAATTCACCAAGACAAGAAGAGAAATCAGAATTCTATATAGCACTGACTTTTGCAATTAATCTTTGAACTGACTAGTGAACCAATAATTAAACGCAGCGTTCGGGCAAAATTTCGAATGGAATTTTTTTTCGCTTACCTGGGCTTATTCCTCCCGCTGATTCTGAAAATACAGCTTGAAGAGCACGAAAATGCCGAAAACGGGCTTTTCAGACTCTTGATTTGAATTTTGTCGCCCGCCAAGGTTAAGACGCAGTCTTTGTGTGACCCTGCGTCTTGACCGTGTGCGGTATGCGCACTCTGGCTTAGCGAACTACCTCGACCCGGTCGCCGGGGCGTTCCAGTCGCCACTTCTGAAGCGTATTTCTCGCTTCAGAAGCAAATTGGTGCATTGCCAATTAGGCAAGAGCCTTACCAGGACGGGCGCCCCTGTACCCTACATTTTCGTATCTGCCCGGACGCTGCCCCCAAAGGTGCTACATTGCATTCGCGCGCTCGGGACCCAATCGGTTTCCCGCTATCTGTTTTTTAGAATGGCGTTACGATTATCTTATATATAAAGCTGAATGTCTGTTTGTCTGTCTGTCTGTATGTCTGTCTGTCTGTGTGTACGTATGTTCCGAATAGAAAATTCCATTTCTTAACCGATTCGGAAGTAGACTAACACCCGCCGGGGCCCGAAGTGTATGTGTGCCAAGTTTGGTCCGAATCGGTTAAGAAATGGAATATTCTATTCGGAACATACGGCGGAGCCGGGTAAGCCAGCTAGTTTTATATGAAAATGATTTTTGATGTCACCGGTGATCTTCCTAGCAACTACGGAAGCTAAATCGTTAAGGCACCTCCACAAAATCTCTAGATAATATCTGGGAAACACTGCGCCCACTATCTTCCTGAAAGCCATGAACTTCTCTCTTATTTTACCTCGATTCTATATTTTACTAGTAGACATTTTCCTATTTCGTAAGGTGTCAAATGGCATACAGCCACAATCATAGCTACAGCACGTAACCAACAAAGTTCGTTCATTGCTCGCTAATATATTGGAAGTCTTGTTTGATATTGAAAACATTTAGTACTAATCCATCAAATCTTCTTTCATCACCAGCTAACGAATGATACAACGACGTAATCTTTGTGACAGCCATATAACTTAGCAGGTTCCTTCCAAAGGAGGTTTGTACAACTCAAATCTCAGCAAATCAACCAATGCATACAATTGGTAGAAGAAAACAAACGACTACGATCACAATCCTCATAAAGGTTCTGGTAAAGACAGTACGTTAATCTCATTCTAAATTGACTGAGCATTCAAACATTACATCTTATACATCTGATAGGGTTTCCTTACGGAAATAAAGATCAACTCAAGATTAAGGAAAACTACAGCAAGATACTGCGAAATTCAAATAGCTATTAAAGCTGTGAAAAACGCTGTCAACAACGAAGAAGTGGAAGAGAAAATGGGTTTGACCTCTAAGAATAAGACAAGAAGAAGCTTAACAGTCCTACACATACCTGAAACGGACGAAGAGAATGGAATGAAGTGAATCACAAGACTAACATTTCCTTGTTCAGATTTGGAAATTCTGACGATGGCCAAAAGAAAAAAATCAATTGAAAATAAAATTACATCGTGCTGAATACTTCAACTAAAGGAAAAACACGTGTACAATTAAAAGGAGGAATAGACTTCAGACACATTTCACGATAGCTCCCGTACCTAACTTCAAGAAGATCTAAGTCCAGGCTGCCGACAGTGCGTTATTTCTTGCCAGCTTCTTGGAAATGATACTGCCAGCGATGAGCCCGAATAAGACTGTACTGATGAGCACATGGTCAAAGTCATCTTTCAAGATATCAAATGTGCCAGAAGGAGTTAATCGAGTAAAGAAGATGTCTTTTCCATAGGCCAGCATAAGACTCGTAGACTCCAAACCTGACGCCCTCAAATGCATAGAATCAAACTCGCTTTGATGGCAAGAAAAGAATGACAGAAAAACCGAAAAATAAGAAAACTAGAAATGTCTATTCTAAAAGGAAAAAATATATAAAAGTTTGGAATTATATAATGAATATAAAAACGGAAAAATTGATGAAAAATAAATAATAAATGATATAAAAATAAACATATAATCTATAAAAAACTAACGCAGTTTTGATCCCTCGAACTCCATGCACGGTCTGATTGTAATTTACCAGATCCTCTGTTGCTATGGGAATTTCAGGCATGTACGGTATCATCATCTCTTCTCGCATTTCTTGAGTCAGCTCAAGAGGTCTGGTCGCGTCCAGCAGTTTTCGGGTCACTTCGTGGATTCCTCCTAACGGTAATGCCAACAACAAAGATCTTGTCGTAAGTCCCTTTTCTACAAAATGCAACTATTTTTTTTCTTGCGCGATGCATCGGGTAACTTCTCTACCTGTTTCACTCACTCCCATTGCTTGAATGCCCTGAGCATAGATGAAGCTTTGGGATAGGACCTCAGGCGGGTGCTTCGTTGGAGTTAGGGAATCGAAACGATCCTAAATTCAATATCGCAGTTGAACAGAAAGAAAAAAAAGAGTAGAATCTATCTTGCGCGAAGGTGTAACAGGCAAAAATGTTCGCATCAAACCCACAGTGCCGTGCTCCAACGCAAACGGCCTGCTTCATTACAAATTCAAAAACATCCACATGGTGATTACAGAACCGACGGGACTATAATCACATGTGTGCAAAGTATTTTTTAATCTCCCATAGACTTTTTATTACCACAGAGCGCTAGACGTGAATGTTTTACTCGTGCACCGCGCGGCGTGCGCTTCAGTTACATGGGCATCTTGCCTTTGTCTGAGATTTGGCTATAGCCTACCTTGTAAGTTTGCTCGCCACCTTCATAGAGCTCGAGTACACCAATTTCTGTCCGCCTTCCTTTCTCCGACCAATATGAGTACTGTAAATTGGTTTTGTAGAATGACAGAACAAAAAATAAAAATAGTCACGACGTTCCATCAACTTACCGCAATCCAGTGCTCACAGTGTACCAGATGAACAGGTGCGGCAGCTTTGGCTAAGCGTGCGGAATGTACCATTTGACCAGAAACGACATCCACGAGGAAAATTGACAAATACTGATGGACAGAATCGAGAGCAGCTATCGCTACCTAAGAAGAAAAATTGAAAAAAACTCTGTAGAGATATAGGCTGCTGCATGACGAAGGCGCAATATCTTTGGGCGCAAACGCGGCTTTATTGGCCGCAAAGCACAGGAGGCGCAGATACAACGGTGAGGATACGCGCGCGCCGCGTTCGCGCCCGCTCACCTAACACTGCTATTGCGCCTTCGTCATGCAGTAGCCTTTAACTATAAGTGTGACAAACCAAGTTCGGATTGGCATATTTGTACTGAACGTTGCGGTCAATCAGCACACGTCCCTGCGAATGTACTTTTTCTGGAAAGAAAAAAAATTATGCCTAATGCTTAGACTGGCGCAAAACGATTCAGCTTACGATTTCGCGGCTTCCCCTTCACTATTATTATATGCTCGGAAGGAGCAAGGTGCAGATCTGCAGACCAAGTCTTGATGAGTTGCTTTTTGACCAGATCAATTTTGGCCCCAGAGATGCGCGAAGAATCAATGTCGAAGATGTACACTGGAGGTGCACCGCTCAGCACTTCATCAGGTTGAGAAGGAAAGATCATCACCTATAAAACTAGAATTATTAAAGAAATCTCGATGAACTGCAAATCTAACTGCAAGTTATCGTGTATAGTCTCGGCTGAGGAAAACTAATTCTGAACCTACGAGTTAATGCTGCACTATATATGCTCTAGTTTTCAGCAAATCACTGAATCACAACTCCTACTACTTTACCTCGTTACCTCTTCACCTCGCACCTTGAAATTGCATGAAAATTTTGAACGAAAAAGAACCTAGCTGACAATGGAAATCAAGATTGCTGTAATCCAGGAATCTGGATCAAAGAGTGATTTGCCCACCTGGTCATCTTGCGTTACCACTAGCAAAGGATTGACATAGTCCTTGCCAGCGAAACTTAGTACATCTGCTCGCTTTATCGGTAATTTCAACTGCGTTCTATCCTTTATTTCCCCAGTAATCGGATCAAAAAATACCAAAACACCAGCGGATGAAATCTGGAAGAATAATATTAAAAAATGCTAACTATGTAGTATAAATAAACTTACTAAATCTCTGAACACAACAGATACCAGTCCACCTCGTTGGTAATGCGCTGTTGATCGATGGATGAACAAAGGTACCTAATGACTAGCATGGAATGTACGAACACTGACGGTTCTCATCAGAATTACCTCCTCCTTTCCGATAGTATTCTTCAATGGCGCAAAATTGTCGCCTAACCAATGGCTCCAAACGACCGAGCCATCGCTGCTATCCAGACCAAAAATCGCACCATCCAAAGAAACAATGACTAACATTTTACGTAAATTGAAAAAGTCTCGTTCCAAAACCTCTCCATGCTGGCTGCAAAATCGGTTATACAAGCTATCTATGCGAAATTCGCAACGAAAACTCACTAATTTGCCTTAGCTGCTGATCGCACATGATCGATGAGTTTTGAGAACGAATTTGTTCGTGTTGTAAGCATGTACGAAAATGTGAAAATCTGGTTGACAGTATTGAAAAGCCATTTCTGTATCTGTGACGCTTGCGATATCAATCGACGAATGAAAGACGACATTAGACTTGATCCTGAACAATAAAGATAGACAAATGTAGGACCCCAACAAAAGAGAACTGATTCTCAATGTAACAGACGTGATAGCAGTAAGAAAAAAAGAGGGCGTTGCAAATTGAAATAAACTATTCACCTCCTTCATCAAATTCGTCTTCTATCATTTGTTGGGACTCAGATAAAGGGAGGTCGACCATTTCCGCAGTGCTTATACGCGCTAGACTCTCTTCTCTTGACCATTCAGAAACCACTGATGATTTTGCTGCGTCGATAACAAGGAACTCTATCCTGCAAAATGATATTTTCGTTCTAAACATGGTGTAACTACAATATATAGTTCGAAGGATCACCTGCAATCGGCTCCTACAGTAACTATTTCATGAAAATCTTTCGAGGAAAGATAAACTGCAGTAATAGGAGCGTGATCCCCATTTGAAGGCAGTTCGGTCTAGATAGCACATTTAATGGTGACCTAGACCACTCGCTACCCTCACTCTACCTTAAACATTTGCTTCATTGTGGGAACGTTATAAACTTCGACCGTTTTTCCACTGATAACAACAAGAACTTCAGCAGTGACAGCAGCGGTGTCCACACGATGATGCAAAACGAGTTTCTAGAAGTAGGGTCACAATTATGGCTGAACAACATAGTGCAAAAATTAGACTCATAGTCATTGCTATGAGATTATTTCTAAAACTGAGTATCACATTAACTGGGATAATCTCAGCTATCAAAATTACCATATACGGCAAAACGAGCATACCCAAAGTTGAAAACTCACCTGTTCAATCATACTTTTGTCTACACCGAAGATTATAGCAGATGTAGAGCATTTCAAAAAGAGGTAGTGTTCATCCAAATCATTCAGAGATCTGGAAAATGATTGCTTTAGAGATGGATGCACTTTCAAAAAATCATCTTTACCTTATACTACAATCAGTGGCCTTCTCCGATGAAGTCAAGGCTGCTGAAGTGAAATCCACAGTAAGTAGCGAATCGCTATGTCCACATATGAGCAAATTTTGTACTATGACACACCTGAAAAAAACTGCGTTTGAGCGGAAGTCTTAAGACCTATGAAAACTGAGACTCACTTATCACCCGAATTCGACTTTATAGCAACTGTTCTGGGAGCACTTGCATCACCCGTATTGAGAGAAAATTCTCTAACAGTCAGTACACCATTGGAGATAGATAAGTAGTAAACAAGATCATTTATAACGCTCAGCTTTGACCACTGGCTAAAATAGTGATATCAAAAGCGAAAAGACAACAATTTACGCAAACACACCTGTCTTGTACACCATGGCTCCACTTCAAGTTTCCATGCTTCGAAAAGCAAAATACTTTTTTCGAACTAGCGACAACGAGTGACTGTTCCATCAGAACGATGCTCGGTTGCACGCTGAAACTTTTGACTTCATTGATTGAAAAAATAATTCTGGAAAGACGAACCTAGTTTGAATGATCTCGCTGAGTGGTTTTTGCCATAATAAAGCGCCGTTCCTCTTATTCCACACTCTGAGAACTCGACCAACATCGGATACTGTGTAGATGGCTAGAAAACAGCACATACAAATTCACAATCTCCCAGCATCAAATAGTTGTACCTTTATCATCCACAACCATCGGGAGCACAAGGCCTTTCGCATCTTCCTGTATACGTCGCCAAACTGAAATGGATCTCCTATATACTGAATTTACAAATTACAGACAACAAACCGCCAAGGGGAAGGAAGGGTGGGCAATCTTACAGAAGAGAACAAGGACATTACGTCTTTGTTCTCTTCTGTTCTCTTACCCCTTTTTAGCCAATGAAAAAAGCAACAATTTTCTCACCTATTTGGCCAGTATTCGCAGAAAGTGATGCAAAAACATCCTCTTTCGTTGACACTAACAAGCGATCACTCTTCCTATGAGTATCGAAGAAAACCCTATGCGGGCAACCAACGAATTGCTGACGCCTAAAACTTGTAAATACGTTTTAGAATTCACTTAAAAAAAAGGGAAAATATGCAAAACGCTACTCACCAGTCAAACTTCCCTACTTGATCTTCGAAAAGTGCTTCGCTCGACCTCGGTAAAAGCAAACAAAATAACCAACAAAGTTTACCCAGCATAGATTGCCTGACCCAACAATACTTTACTGGAAAAATTTCATTGGAAATGTTGTGATAAGATAACCAGGCGGCAACAACGCTTCCACAATCCTCCAAAAATGAATGTGAGAATAATTTATTACAACAACATAAAGGATAGAATCAATGCAAAAAATATCAATAGTTAAACTCCAACAATTGAGATACACAAATCTGATAGATAATGACTGTTTTAGAATATATACACCTCAATGATCTTTGTCCCTCACGGAGAAATTGGCTTGATTTCTATCGTGATAACTGCCACTGCGTTGCTTTCTCAAAATAAAAGGGATTACAAAAGTTAACAAGGGAGAGGCTAAAGCAATACCTGTACTGTTCATAGGGATCCATCGCGCTTCCCAAACCTCGATACTGATCCTGTCTATCGCGAACTTCGCCGCCCCCAATTGGTTCAATGATTCCCTATAAGTTCAAAAAAAGAAATCACAGCATAGGAAAAACTAGGCATACCTGTTTCGAGGCGCCTAATCCTGTTCCGCTCCAACCCATTTTCTGCATGAGCTGTGCTCCTTTGTTAGCGCCAGAAAGTGGAGCCACCGGCATACGGAATCCGGCTGTACCACTGAAAATTACTGGATAGTATCATATCAACATCAGCAAAAAAAAACAATTCATGTCTTTCAACTACGAGACAAAAACTCACAAAGATGGCGGGGACGGTGAACGTCTAGTGAATGACGGTCGTGCTCCAGGCGATAGAGAGCGCGAACGAGACCGAGATCTAAAGTGTCTGTGTTTATCGTAATACATAACTGAGCGTTAGAATCATAATCTAAATTGCCAAAACGCAGCAAGTTACAATCTCAAAGAATGAAGGAAATGGAAAAAATACTTCCGCCTCGGCGAGTATGAACGGCTCCTTGAACGGTATCGAGATGAGGAACTCGATCCAGTAGATGAGGATGAACTTGATCTGGATGATCTTGAGGAATACGAAGATGATGAACTGCTACGACTACGTCTGCAAAATCAAAATCATGCGTACGATTATCAACATACACAAATTACTACAACGGGTATGTACCTCGAACGGTCATTAACTTTCTTCTCAGCTGGGGATTGTGGTGAGGACGAATCACGCTTTTCCTTATCTTTGTTGGCCAAGGCAATTCTGTATAACAGAAGAGGATAAGCTTAGGTTGGAAATTTCCATTAAAATAAAAAAAATAAGGAGAACATACCTCCTCATTTCTTCATACTTCCTCTTTATTTCGGCATTTATATCCTCCTGCATGATTTTCAACTCCTCCTCGGTCGGCCTGTTGTCGACAAGATCGCCAATTGTTTTGTTTTCGCTCTACATTATTATAATATGAAGCTACAAAACATTGACTCAAAAATACCTTCAACTTCTCCTCCAAAATCTTCTTCAGGCTCTGCTTTCGCTCCATAAATTCCGTACATCCACCGCGACCCCAAGCAGCCAAAGGTCTAAGGTTTACCATCATAACCAAACGACAATTTGTTAAGTCTACAAGCTTACGGTTCTCGCGTGGGATCGAGCGTAGCACTGTAAAATTCATCCAAAGCGCTCAGCAGTCTTTGTGATGGCGGGACAGGAGGAGGCATTCGTAATTTGTCAGGAACAATTGCTTTGTACTGAAATCGGACGATAATTACAATTTCAGATCCACTTTGAGCAATGACAATGTCATTTTCTGTTGATATGCTTCCATCTGCTGCTCCACTTACAAGGGAAGCTAGTTTAGTCGAAGCGGCCTTTCTAAATGAGATGTATACCATGTTAAAGGGCATGAAACGCTGATCCAAACCTGCCTTCCTTATCTGCAGAACGTCTATGGACGAGGAGTTATGAGCGTTTAAAGCGAAAAATCAAATGTGCATTTTGGATAAAATTAGTTGCCAAAATCTTACTAGCTCTCAAATAAGGCATCCAAGTGTGATAGATTTTTATTCTGAATTTTTTGAATAAATTGTTCTGATGATTATCACTGCTCCATTGAAGAGCTAGAAAAAGTATTAAGGCTATTTTTGCTCTACCACATCCAATTTTTTGCTCCAATGAGCGCTCATAACTCCTCGTCCATAAATGTTCTGCAGATAAAGAAAGCAGATTCGGAAACAGCATTTGATGCCCTTCAGTACGGTATATATCCCATCCAGAAGGGTCACTTCGTTGTTAAAAGCTGTGGGCTCGGACATGATTCATGACTTTGAAAAGCTCCTGACATAGTCTAAGTATGGAAAGATATACAAGATGCAATGCATCAACCTTTTCCCTCCATGCCCTCTCCATACGAGGAAGAGGCGCGCAAAACCAAAGTAATCATAGGATATGATGAAAAACGAGGAAATCAAAATGATAATAAGTTAGAAAAACTGCGTTCAAAGAAGTTAATGCTACAAATGTTTGTGCAACATATAGTGCGAAGACTTTTGCTACATCCTGGTCTTGCGCGGCAAAGTGTACCTCAAGGCAAACAGCTCCCAGAACAAAAAGTATTAGAACAGTGCGCTAACAGACTGAGGTCTAAAAAAGCCGAAAGATAAATTAAATAATAATAAATTAAAAACGGTTTGTAGCCAGATACCGAAAGAAACTACGCAATTCGAAAGATTGCACCAGAAAATGGGAATAAGGACGTGATGAGCATATACTCAACTCATAGATTTGCTTGTACAGTACCTTCAGGAACAGAAAAAACGATGAAAGCTGAGTTCTAGGATAGTATCAAACAGCTGAAAGCTTCTTCTGTCAAGGTGGGAAGGAAAGACACATGCAGCAGAACACAACATCCGCTACAAAAAAGCTTACCGAAAACTGTTCAATTTCCATGAGTGGAAGCATAATGCCAGCGGGTAACTCGTAGTATCTCGCCTAAATTGCATACTAGTATGCACCAAAAACAGTGATTTCATTTGAAGGTACTGTAGTTTTTCGCTTCAAATGAAACAGCAAATGTGAAAACTTACACTTGGAATAAGATCCTCCTCATTGAAAGGGTGACCGTCGATATCGTCTCCATCGGGGATTTTCTCTGAAAAAACTTACATGTTATTGTCGACATAAGAACGAACAATAAGATAACAAGCATCACATAAAATGACATATAGCATTGGCACTTTTAGCACTTAGCATTTACCTTCTTTTATCCAGTTCTGTTTCGGTGGTACTCGAGGGGGAGGAGCAAAGAACTGGCCGTAATCCTCTTGTGACTTGCTAGGCATTGGCCCGGGTTGCTGATCAAACCTGGATCGACGTCCAGGCACTCCAGGAGCTGGTCCTGGACCTGGCCCAGGTCCAAGTCCAGGTCCCGGCATTGGAGGTGGCTCTCTCGTCATCCCACTTAGAAGAGAAGGGATGGCCCCTACAGAAAAGTAGATCAGATCGTTGACGTCAAGAAGTTTGCTACTGATTCACAACATATCACTTTTTACAAACCTCTAGCGCGATCCTTTTCAGCCTCAATCTGCATGTCGATCTGAGCGATTTGTTGCATGATATGTTGAACATAGTTTTTATGCTGCTGTTCGTAACCAGCATACATTGCTTGCAGATTGACTTCAATATCAGCAGCCAACTGAAGTAATAAATTCAAAGAGATCAAATGAAAGAAACGCACCTTGGCATATTCCGCAGCTTGTACAGCTTTTGCTGAAGAATAAATTTGACTGGGATTCCGAAGTTGCTGGAAAAAAGAAACCAAACGTTTGGAAATGTACAGATATGAATATCGGTGATGGACAAAACTTATCTATTATTCAAATACCTTAAAGCACTGATCGTTGAAATATTTGTGGCCTTCCCAGACTCCTATTAGTTTGTCCAACTTTTGCTGCATGAGAGCATCTGTAGATAATTCCACAGTGAAAGCATACATCTGCGGGACGTAACGCGACAACATTTGCGTTTGTGAATCGAGACGTTTCCGCTGGCTAAACATTCATCTCACCAAGTGCAAACGCTGACCTAACGAATGAAACTACCATTGATATGCCCAATCATTTATGACATAAAGAATGTTCAGTCGAAAATTATCGTTGGCTTGAGCATCTTTGACTCTAAATGAATAGAATGAATTTAAAAACCAAAGAGAATCAAAGTAACGAATAGAAAAATGCTCAAAATGAAATAATGGAAAAACATCAACAGGAATATGAGGTGCCAAACCTGCTCAAAAGATAAGTAAGAACAACTTCACGAAGCTGATCAGTCTGACAGTGCTCAAATATCCACTTCCGACTAGTCTAATAAAATAGCAGACAGTGAATATTAATTGAGCTTCGCAATGCACTTGAAAAAAAAACAGTAACGATGAAAATAGCTTACCGAGACGAGATCTTTGGAGCTTTTTCCAGCATTCAGCTGATCCAGTAGGGCTGCAAGTGGTGCCACATCAAAATTGACATTAGCGAGGATCTGAGTCATTTTTTGAGACTCCGCTAGCAAAACCGCTTGTGCCACTTGAGCCTAGAATAATGATTTAGTGAACCACCTAAACCAGAAAAGCAATTCGCACCTCTTTCATAGCAGGGATTGCATCATGATGAGCTTTGAGATTTCTCTCGCTATCAGTGATTTGCTGTCTGAGTTGCTCTTTTTGCGTATTCATTCTTTGCATAAATTCAGACTCGACAGGAGGTGGTGGTCCAAGAGGTGGGCAACCATTACCCGGATGCGGTGGCGGCATATTCAGAGGCGGAGGAGGACCACCCCGCACTAAAACGAAATTGTTGTATCAGACTTAAAAACTTATTTTCGGTGTTTACAAAGCAAATGTGAATCTCAGAAGAACACAACAGTAATCTACCATTTCAGAATTGGCTGCAAGTAATCGGAAGCATATCGGCACAATACCTTAGCCATTTTGAAGACTTGAAAAGGGTGTAAAAAATGCGACGAGAAAACAACAAGGCAGACTGGTACACATATGGAAGCCTGGATTGTACTCACGCTTTCGGATCTCCATATCAACACAAAATCGATAATATTCGTTATATGGACCACCATAGAGAAAAGCGAATTTCGGATTCCCTTCCTGCTTTTCCATTGTCATCTTCTCAAAATCAGGACCATTTTTTGCAACAAATACTGCCAACCGTTCAATAGCAGTTCGCAGTTCCTCATCTGAACGATGACTTTGAGCTCAGAATGACCTGTATACGGATAATTTTAACACTAATTACGTACATAAATTACAGACTAAGGAAGCGAAACTAAAATCGTTAAAATACTGCTTCTCAATGTAAGTAGAGCTAAGATGTAAAAGAAATATCACGAAGAATTGTCCAAAACGATAAAGCGTGTTACTGCCTACCTTGTGGAGGTCGAGGACGGTAGCCGTCATCACCCATGGTTTGTCTGAACTACGATGAACCTGAAAGCAGGTATCTATACCGGAAGAACGATTAGCTCTACAGGAATAAAAAGAAATTTGATGAAAAATAACTACAAGAAGTTAGATATGTGCCTCCCGGTGTTCATTTCAGTAGACTCATATTGTTGGTCTTCCTTTCATTCACACTTTGATTTGCAGAAAAATAAAGACTGTTCCATAAAAGAGGAAAAAAGTGGGAATAAATTAATTTGAGAAAAGAATGCCGCGCAACGCATGGCTAGCCCCAGCGCAGCGAATTGTCCGTCGAGCAAGCTGAGAACTGCGCAGGCCCAAACCGCAGCTGTCAGTCGATCAGCGGTTTTTTCAAAATGGTTATGAAACAGGGGAACTGATGAGTTTGCAGTCAAAAAGAAGGATGCAATATATACGTTATTATACGTACGGTGTTATACAGGGTTTGCCGTTTCTGAATAGCGTCGGATCAGATTTGGCCCGGATTATCCCCCTCGCTCTTTGTTGTGGGCGCGAGAATTTGGGACTAGCTGATTCCTTTTCGTTGCTAGGATAGAAAAGGGCAGTTTACTACTAGGGAAATATCTAATACTAGCTGGCTTACCCGGCTCCGCCGTATCCGGACCAAACTTGGCACACATACACTTCGGGCCCCGGCGGGTGTCACAGTCCACCTTTCGTTATCGATCGATGTCGATTTTACCGATTTTTATCGATTTTTTTGCAGAGTTCACCTACAGGGCTAGGAATTGGCACAGGGGGGAAGTGAGCATGGGGATTCCGAATACAATATTAGTTTTCAGAATTATCGATTACTTTTATTGTTTTTATCGATTTTTTGTAAATTTTGACATGCGAGGCTGGGATTTTGCACAGGGGGTAATCGAGCATGCTGATTACGAACACAATATTAGTTTTCAGGATCGTCCATTACTTTTATTCGATTTTATCGATTTTTTTTGTAAAGTTTGACCTGCGGGGCTGGGAGTTTGCACAGGGGGTAATCGAGCATGCAGATTACGAATACAATATTAGTTTTCAAGATCGTCCATTACTTTTATCGATTCTATCGATTTTTTGAAAATTTGAGCTAGGGGGCTGGAATTTGGCATAGGGGTGTAATCGAGCATGCTGATCACCCCCCTTGGGGATGATCAGCATGCTCGATTACCCCCCTGTGCCAACTTCCAGCCCCCTAGCTCAAACTTTGAAAAAAAATCGATAAAATCGATAAAGGTAATCGATAATCCTGAAAACCAATATTGTATTCGGAATCCCCATGCTCGATTACCCCCCTGTGCGAACTCCCAGCCCCGTAGCTCAAACTTTGCAAAAAAATCGATAAAATCGATAAAAGTAATCGATAATCCTGAAAACCAATATTGTATTCGGAATCCCCATGCTCGATTACCCCCCTGTGCCAACTCCCGGCCCCGTAGCTCAAACTTTGCAAAAAAATCGATAAAATCGATAAATGTAATCGATAATCCTGAAAACCAATATTGTATTCGGAATCCCCATGCTCGATTACCCCCCTGTGCGAACTCCCAGCCCCGTAGCTCAAACTTTGCAAAAAAATCGATAAAATCGATAAAAGTAATCGATAATCCTGAAAACCAATATTGTATTCGGAATCCCCATGCTCGATTACCCCCCTGTGCCAACTCCCAGCCCCGTAGGTGAACTCAGCAAAAAAATCGATAAAAATCGATAAAATCGATATCGATCGATGACGAAAAGTAGCCTATGACACCCGCCGGGGCCCGAAGTGTATGTGTGCCAAGTTTGGTCCGGATCGGTTCAGAAATGGAATTTTCTATTCGGAACATACGTACACACACACAGACAGACAGACAAACAGACATTCAGCTTTATATATAAGACCAGTCCAAAGCGCCGCTTCGCGGCGCTTTGGACTGGCTGTGTCTGTGTAAAATGGGATGTGTTTAGAATTTCTGAAGTTTTGTGTTCTCCTAACCAAAGTACGACGCGATCGTTCAAACTTAAATTAGGTGAAATTAAAATGGCTTTAGCCTTATACGCGCGCCTCTTAAAAGCTACCACATTAGAAAAAAGTAAAATTGAACTGTAGCAACGAATGCGATCGACGTTGATAAATTTTAGATTCAAATGAAGTCCAAAAATCACAAATCAAAATTCATGTGCAGAACAGGATGCGCTGAGCACTAAATAAACAGGGAGATGAGCATTAATACTTCAAACTATACGAAAATTAAAAATACGACATGAGCTTTGAACATGGGGACATGTAAAGTGTCAGCTGCGTTGAACTCTAAATTCAAGTGAAGTAGAAATTATTCATTGCTGTCGTCAGGCATGAAAGGCATGAAAAGAGAGGATAGGCTTATTTATGCGCATAACTCTGAGCTGCGAACGAAAATAATTGTGAGATTTTATTTTCAAGAATTTTAGAAAAGTGAAAAAAGTTCAAAAAAGCACTATGCGTTCTGATCTAAATCTACGACTCAGCTTCCTTGCTATAATTCCATCTCAGCTTTTTCGTGAGCTGTCATCATTCTTTCGCATGGCTGTGTGCCGTTCTTCTCCATTTTTGCTAATTAAGGACTGCTCTTATCACTACGTTCTTTACCCTCTCTTCCTTCTTGTGCACTTTAACTCCATCCTTTGTTCTAGCCCTAGATAGTGCAACATAAAGTTGTCCATGTGAGAACACTTCCGTTCCAAGGGAGATGCCTACGCGAGTCAAACTCTGTCCTTGAGCCTTATTTATCGTCATCGCGAAGGATAAACGAACGGGGAATTGCGTCCTTCGTAGTCGGAAAGGAACTGCTGTGTCGTTATAGTTGTCTATGCGAGGAATCAAGGTAAATTTTCCTTTCCGATCTCCGGATGCGAACCGACATCCCAAGATAAAACGTCCGAAGTGCGTGACGATTAACCTCGTCCCATTGCATAGCCCATTTCGAACATTAAGATTTCTCAATAGCATGATTATTGAACCTTCTTTCATTCTCAGATTGTGTGGAGGAAGTCCAGCCGGTGTCATACTGTTCAGGAATTCCGGAGTGTATTCATTTGCTTGCACATTATCACTGATCACATCATCAGCACTCTTGTACTCATGAACTTGCCCAGGAAGCTTACTCAGTACTTCTTCATTAATTCGATCAACTTCAATATTGCGTGGAGCGAGTATCGCGCGCTCACTCAAGGTGTCGAAGTCGGTTAGCAAATCGCCGAAAACCTCATCAATGAGGTTACCGTTGGATACTATTTCAGAGGGAAGTTGGATCCGGCCCATTTCATCTTCTTCTGCCTCTCCATTTCCAACGCTTAGCAAAAAATCACACCATGAGGAGCCGGAATCTGCAGCTCTTATGTTCGTCGAAAGCGTATGCTTGCGAAATGATCTCCAAAGAAGACTGTTTTTCAAGCATGCGTCAGTCATGTCGCTTTCACTACCGCGCTCTATTATTGGAAGCACTTGCCGGAAGTCACCACCTAAGACAACTATTTTGCCGCCAAAAGGCTTGTCATTGCACATCAGATCCTGAAACAGACGATCGACTGCCTCAAGGGAGTAATTTGGAACCATGCTCACTTCATCCCAAATAATGACATCTGCTTCCTTGAGGGGAGTGGCTTCTTTAGCCTCACGACGTAAGGTACATTCCCGGTTTCCTCCTCTCACATTCAGTTTGAAGGTAGAGACAGCTGTTCTTCCCTCGGGCAGCAAATTCGCGGCCACACCTGTCCATGCTACACATAAGACAGACCTGTGCTGACTCTTCAATATGTGATACACGGTATTGTACAGATAAGTTTTTCCACTACCTCCAGGACCATCGACGAAGTGAAGCTTGGACCGACTGGAGTTGAAGGAGGCCAAAATGCTGTCTGCTATTGATTTCTGTAAAGCATTCAGACATTGGTACATCGCTCGGCCTTTCTGCTCGTGAGAGGAGTATTCGGTCTGATCTGCCAACACTGGCCGATTCTGTGCAGGTGGTTTGACCGTTTCGGCCAGGTCGTAGCGCATGATTTGCAGTCTGTCGTAAACATCGAAATAAGCGAGCGCTTCTGCATCAGATGGAGTAGCTCCTCTGTGGATGAAGTCTTCAGCCATCTCGCTTTTGAAACGGTCATATAAATGCCTCGGATCATTGATTTCACAGAATGCAAGCAAGCAACTGAATAATGCACGCAACTCCGCAGGCATCTGAAATGCAGCAGCTTCTTCTAAGCAGCTTTCATAGTGCGAGTCGTCATGAAGTAAACCCAGAGCACGAACAGCATCCAGGAATGTTGGGTGCGCATACCCCTCAACAGTTCGGAGATCTTCGAAAGAGCGCATGTTTTTTCGATGAAGGAGCAGCATGCGTAGGCTAAACCTTTCAGGTTCGGTTGGAGGGCCGATATGCATGCGACCAATTTGGCGATCACCTCTACCTCTTCTCTTCCACTTTCGTGTTGCTCGTACGAATGTGAAATGCTCGGGCAACTGGTGGTAGAAAAGATTTCGTGGATCAATCCCTGCATTTGATGATCCACTCTCGTTCTCCAAAACCTCATACTCGTTGTTTAGTTTGAACCATGCCGTTAACATAGAATCTCTAGACGCCTCTCGGATTGCTGCTTCACGTTCTTCACCTGATTGAAATGTCACCGTTTGAAAATCAGGAAGGTGAACGGCCAGACGATAGACAGTATCGGATTTAAACTGACTGTCATACATAAAAATATGGTGCAGGGCCTCTGGCGAGCATACATAGCGAGCATCAAGATGTGCTCGAATCTCGTCGGAGCACTGTGGGTGATCCTGTTGCAGCAGTCGCAGTGATGCTCTGTCTGGTCCCTTGTAGACGTACTTGTATAAGTACTTGACTGCTTGCACATAACCACAGATTTCCAAGTTTATGTGTGCATTAAGCAGCAGCAACAGGTAGCGATTATAAGGCACTACGTCTCTGTTGTCAAAGGTTTGGTCTCTAGCCGTTATGCTACAACCGTCATTTGGTCTTTTGTACTTGGGATAGCCGTCCACTTCAATGTCAGTAGTTTCTCTGAAATCCTTGCGGTATCGCTTAGAGCATACTCCATTTACCATGCATGAAGCAGTTGGGTTGTCTATACCACATCTTCGATGAATCATGTTCCTCGCGACTATGCTGTAAAGGCGGGCATTCTCAGATGCACTTGGAAGGTAAGCCTGAACAGCTGCATCAGCAGCCTCGCAAGTCCTCGGTTTTGCATCTGCAGTCATTATAAGCAGCATATGGCAATGGGGAAGACCTCTTTTTTGCCATTCTACGATCCCGACATAAGCAGCAACACAGCCCAAGATGTTTTTTTCAAAAAGGTGAGTTTGAAGGACGTCCAGCTTCCGTTTGAACACCCGTGTCACCAAATCTGGACGATCAGAAGCGGTCTGGCCAGGATGTAAGTTCTCAGTTATCTCTCTCCATTTTGGGTTGCACGTAAATGTAAGAAAGTAGTCGGGTTTTCCGTACCTTGCAACTATAGACATGGCATCTTGGTAAGACTGATGCATGGCGCGAGGACTGCCTGGAAACGATGATGGCAAAATAACTCGCCTTCCTGGTGGTCCGTCCGCGTTATCGCTGGTCAAATGATCCACGAGTCCCCTATAACTGTCAATTCGCAGCTCTTTCTGGTGTGTACGCGTATAGTTAAGTCGATTTTGCTCAATTTTGACGTACGCATCGACCACAAATTGTTGCATGAGCTTTCCGGCGTGGTGAAGCGGGTTAAAAGATTGGCGTATGGCGAGCAAATATGAGTAGAACTCGCGTTGACTTATTCGCGTGCGAATACGACCGCTTGGATTTTTGGTCAAATCGACATGCCACCCTAATCCTCCCCTAGGAAATAACAGAGGGTAGGTTAGTGGGTCACAACGACCGTCGATGTCTGGTATTTTCTGCAGGTTTCCTCCTCTATGGTGAATAGCAAGAGAGCGCTTCGATGGGACATCACCATCTTCGCCAACGTAAACAACGGCGATTTCGTTTGCGGCTGGTACATTATAACGGCGACGGTCCAGGTTAGGAGAATCATCGAAGATAAGGCGAATTGTTGGTAATTGTTTGCCATCTTCACGGGCGCGTCGCTCTTCGTCTGCAGCTACATCTCCCATCATCTTGAGCGAAGCAGCATAACTGTTATTAGCATGTAACCATGAGGTCAACTGCTGCATTACAGTAGCATCACAACGTGCATTCGCAGGATTCCCACTTCTTTCCGCTGCTGCGGTGTCTGTGTCCAGAATGTACACTTGTCCAAACTGTGGACGAACACCTTCCGGTGGCGTCAGAGGGCCTACATAGTGATAGATCTGGCCGTGAATTCTGTAGCAGTATGGCCCAGAACCACGAGGAGTATCTACTTGAGCACCCATTGAAGCCATGGCAAGGGCGCTGTTATAAGACCGGATGTGCTCGCGAAAATTTGTGCAGAGTTTGCTCGTTCCAGTGTAGAATGAACGTAGAAGTTCCGGGAAATTTTCGAACAAATCTAAGGAGATGTTGCCGAAATTACAGCAGATATTAAAGCATCCGTTTTTAGGTTTTGCCTCGCTTGAGAAAAAAAGGGCACCACAACGGTTGCAGCTGGTGTTCATAGATCCCATGTAGTTCTCTTCCGTGTCATGATTCGTCAAGGCTATACCAAGATTGCGCGGCGATCGCCGGCGGTGTACAGAGTTTCGTACAGAACTCAACTAAACATTTCACTTATCAATTTGATTTCACAGAGCACTATAATTGCGCATAAATCAGCATACCTGGGTCGGAGACAGCTCCGTGGATGTGCTTGGTAAGACGGTGAATGGAATATTTGAGTGATGTTCCACATGAGAGTGACTGACTGAAAAAAATAAAACTTGGCTCGCCATAATTTCGTATTCATCCATGCTTTCATGCTCACAGGGCGGTAGGCTTTGAGGAGGCAAAGCATTTAGGTTGTTCTCAATTGCTCCATTAAAATGTACTACTCTCAAAGCAGGATCAGGAGTGAGTAGTACGTATTCATCATGTAAAGGCTGAAATTTAGAGTCCCTTTAGTCCACGACAGATAATTTTCTGCTTCCTATTCGATCTACCTGTATTGTTAGATCTTTCAAAGGTACGTAGGCAGACGTGGAAGGCAAAGGTCTGGAAGCACTCTCATCCAAATAAGGTACAGATGCGTTGTGTTGAAACTCGTCTTCGGAAGTATTGAGTCTCTGAACATTTTTATGTCCTTAAGAACGCCATGCATTACTCCTGATGCTCCTCTAGAGAACGTTATGGAGTCATGCTAGCAATGGTACCTGGCTTATCAAATCCTTAAAGTTTATCATTGATCGTTGGCCAGAAAATGCATCACGGGTGCCCGAGTGCTGCAGCGGATCAGCCTGAAATCTCCTTTCCCTTTCCCAAGTGCCTGCTTGCTATAAATCATACCTCAGGTGTTGCTTCTTGGGTAGAGAAGGCAACAAATGCATCATTACGCGCAACATCAGAAGGATTGCCCTTAACAACATTGCCTTACTTCGAAAAAAAAAAACCCAGGAAATGTAAGCCAACCATAACATTTTCTTCCAGAGCTTCTCTTGAGTTTGCACCAAATTCTTCTTGACTGCTATGATGTTGTTTGAGCAAGTTGTTGTTTTGTGCACGTTGTTTTCTCCTAACATCTGCCAATGAACGCAAGCGCAATGATCGCTGTTCTTCCGTTTCGGTTGATCTTCTTAATTTACGTCTTTCTGTATCATTCGCGAGGCGTTCCAGTCTCCGCTCTTCGGTCTCTTTCATTCTTCTCAACCTGGATCTTTCGGCCTGGGCCGCTAACCGCTTCTTACGCTTATCTTCAGGTTCATTACGTCTATTGAATGCCATTTGTTCAGCTTTCTTTCGCTGCCGCTCTTCCTGAAATCGACCTATTTTTTACGGCCTGTCTCCATTGGCTCGTTACTACAGATACCAACAAACATTCTCAGTAACTATTCTCACCATGTCTAGTAGTGGCCGCTTCCGCAAACATCTCCCTGATAACGGTTGAAGCGGCAACTATAATACCTCGTAATCTACACCTTATTAGAGTCCTCAAGAAGGCTGCACACGATAATAGTACCTCAATTTCCTCCAGTGGTCCGTGAACACTTTCATTCGGTTGCCGTTGAGAGCAGGTTGGCTATTCTTCTGATTGTGGTCGTACGCGAGACTCCAAATGGTGGGAAGGCCACTCAACAACGTTTGATTGGGTTGTTTTATACATGTCCGACTGTCTGCCACTGCTGACGCTTGGTTGCTTATATGATTGCAGTGCCTAAAACATAGTATATAATAGCTAAAATCACTCTGCAGCATTACTAACCTCATTCGAATCCATATGTCCTTTATAAAAGTATCGACTTGAATTCCTTGCTCTACTCTACCACACTTGACAAAGTCCGGCACGGAGCATGTAATGAAGCTGCCTAAAACTGCTAATTTCGATCATTGTCTAGCGTTGAGATCTAGTCTACAGTCTAAGCAGGCTATGGAAATCGGTTCAATTTCGATATCTAGCAATCATAACAGGTGGTTTTGAGAACACATTGGAAGTGGAAATGGCATCACCGTATCATAACCGTAAGCTTTGATTTCCAAAAAACGCTCACCAACTGTGAATTTTATGAAATTTTGCTTAAAAACAGCGTACATTTAGATTGCAGATGAGTGCCCAAAATCGAGAGCATTAATACAATAATTGTCATCTTGGACGTTTTTTTTTTCAGAGATTCAAAATCACCGTCAACTTCTTCCACATGAACAGTTTCGGATCGTAATAGTTTGAGAAATAAAGCGATAGCTCCTTTAGACAAACTCTTTTCATCCAACATTCCACCATAATCTTTGGGTATTCACAGATATAATAAGAAACTGATATTTGAGTGAATAAATGATAACTGTGAAATGTTCTACTCAAAAAACGATCAGTTTTACGTTTGAAATAATTTGTGAGTAATCTAAAAAAAAGTTTTCCACTGCAACCGCATCAGAAGTAGAAAAAAGGTTACTCGTTCCTTTCTGATTTATGGAACTGGCTAGTTTCGATCACTGTCTAGCGTTAAGATCTAGTCTATAGTCTAGGCCAGCTATGGAAATAGGTTCAGTTTCGATATCTAGCAATCATGACAGGTGGTTTTGAGAACACACTGGAAGTGGAAATGGCATCATCGTATCATAACCGTAAGCTCTGATCTCCAAAAAACGCTCAGCAACTGTGAATTTTATGTAATTTTGCTTAAAAGCAGCGTACATCCAGATTGCAGATGAGTGCCCAAAACTGAGAGCATCAATACAATAATTGTCATCTTGGAAGTTTTTTTTTTCAGAGATTCATAATCACCGTCAACTTCTTTCACATGAACGATCGTAATAGTTTGAGCACTAAAGCGATCCTTTAGACAAACTCTTTCATCTAACATTCGCACCATAATCTTTGGGTATTCACGGATATAATAGAGAAAATGATATTTGAGCACAACTGTGAAATGTTCTATTCAAAAAACGATCAGTTTTACGTTTGAAATAATTTGTGAGTAATCTAAAAGAAAGTTTTCCACTGCAACCGCATTAGAAGTAGAAAAAAGCTTACTTATTCCTTTTTGATTCATGGAACTGTGCAACAACTGTAAATTTCATGTGCCCAAGAACATAAGAACGTCAAGATTCAGATGACACAATCGCAGATAGTGTGAGACAGCGGTTAGTAATTTTGCGAATCGTTTTATCCAGAAAACTAAAATAACCCATTTTTCGATCGATTTGATAGTGTTAAGCTAACGCGACTGAATGCTTGAACCCTGTTGGCGCAGAATGTACATACCACAATCTTTAGATCGAATATGACCGGATAAAAGATGATCGTTTTGAAAATGTGGAATGATCTAATCAAAAAAGTCCTTTTGGTGAAAAAAGAGAATTCTGTGCGGTTACATCAGAAATGGAGTCGCCTACAAAAAAAAACTCAAAATATTTCTCAAATTTCGATTCTCGCAAAAGAAACTGCTACTCTGAAAAAGAATTTTATCGTCTCTTGTCATGAAAATTCGCATCAACTGTCGCCCTCTCAAATCTTTTCTGTTTGAGGCGTGAACTTCTCAAAAGAGACAGCATTAATATATTGTTTATGTAGTACTTTTATTTTCAGTTTTCGAGAAAAATTTCATTTGGTTTTTCCCAATGCAAAGAACTTTGAAGCAATTGTCGAAGCCTCGAATCTGATGCAATATTTACACAAATGAAAGATTTTTTATAAAAATGAGATTTCATATGTTTGGTGCGCTCTGGCTTGAATTTTATTGCTCTGAGAGCAATGTGAAAGTCATAAATAATCACAGGAACGATGAAGTTCGAAAGGAAGATATTACAGGGCGATAGAAGATAACTTATGTGCTTGTGAGAGATGGGTTTATCAACAAAAGAAATATGCCTTACCTGTCGTTGCACTTGGATATTGAATCCAACCTTGATAGCTGGAATAAAGCGAGTATTGTAGAAGCAGAGATGAGACTAATCGATCTCACCGCTTACAGTGTTGTGGTGGCTTTTGGCTGCTCTTGGCTGATGAGGAACCTTGATAAACAAAACCGAAGACAGACAGTCTAACGGCAAAGATCACTTGTACAAAAAAGGGCAGTGTTAAAGTGCAGGTGAGGGGGGGGGGGGGTACATGGAGCATCATAGAGCATAGGGTAAACAAAGCAAAAGTGGCACGAACAGACCGACATTGACGTCAGATGGGGGTGCCTGCGCTTTATTAAAGAGTATGATTCTGCAGCAAACTTCACGAACCTCTTATCAACTCAACGAAACGTTTAGAAACTAAAGTTTAGCAAGTGTTGTGGACTCCTTTCTTGGAATTTTTTGAATGAGAGTTAGAAACTTTTTCTACCAACAAATTCCAAATTTTTTATAACTCGAGGCTTAGAAAATCTGCACTTTGGGTTTAAGTGAGCACTATAAAGTAATCTTATAACTCAATGCAAGAAGTTTTGAAGTAAACAATACGGTTTGAGATACGAGTCGAACTTAGACTCTGCGCGAAGATAGGGGGGAGGGGGGGGGGGGGGAACAACATTGAAACGACAAAAATTTGCCTAGACGTATCTTTTCTCTTATTCGCTACCGCTAGGGTCTCGAAGGTGCTACAAAGCAGAAAGCTCAATTTTCTTGAGCTAGTTTGTAACGGGTAGTTTACAGTTTACATGGTGACGCAAGGTTTTTAAATATTCCACGCCGCGAAAATTCTGCACAATAAAGTTTTTCGGAATGCTGACACAAGAAATATGCGTAATCTAGCGTGTCACTCTTTTTTGTGAGCTTACTATACAGTTGAAGGGTCATAATGTGCTGGGTTTGCATATGGGTTTATTGGATGGTTAATGGCAAACAGGGGAATTTTTCAGAGCCCGGGAAGAGTGGGAGGGGAAAGGCGAGAAATTTTTTTTTTGAATGAAAGGACCTGGTTACATTTACCCTCTGAGATTCTAAGGATCCTCAAGTTCTTTGAGGGACTAAAGATTTTCGTAAAATAGGAATGGCGTAGACACGCCCAAAATTTAAGTGGTATGAATACAAGCGTTTTGAAATTCGATTATGTGCCTATACAAAGTTACCTTTACAGCGCTTCAGAAGGGTATTAGATTTTGATATCGTACTTTAGTTTCCATCCAAATTAGCTAGCCTTTGCGCTGCTTTTTCTGATTTTTTTTTGCAAATTTCAAGCTAGTAGCAATTACATGAGCTTGCAAGTAAAGTTGATTATATGATTCTTCCTCATAGAAATCAGCTCAGGCAGTGGCTGTAATATTTTTTTTCAAAAACTCAACGTATGCTTGCAGCAACTTATTATATATGCCTTGAGCTTCATTTGCACCTGTTAATATTTATTCCATCAAATTTCAAGTCGCGGTACTTTTAGTACAGGATATTTGCCATGACATTTTTATTCAAATGAAAACAGGAAAAATTTCTTGGTAGATTATCAAGTGTAGATTCAAACTGTAATAAAGCAACAACCTATATTAAACATGCCAATTCATCAGCGTTCAAATTCAAAAAAAAGCGAAAGATGATTGACATTTAAGTTCTGTTTCCTGTAAATGATGACGTCTGACTCCAAATTTGATTTAGAGACATCTAGGTTAAAAAACGCTGATATCTTGCGACACAAAATGACAAGTCGAAACGGCTAAGCCTGTTTTTAAGAAGTGATGCATCACCAATTTTTACCAAAGAAGGATAATAAGTTGCATCTTTGTAAAATATAAAAAAACTAGCTGGCTTACCCGGCTCCGCCGTATGTTCCGAATAGAAAATTCCATTTCTCAACCGATCCGGACCAAACTTGGCGCACATACACTTCGGGCCCCGGCAAGTGTCACAGTCCACTTTTCGTTATCGATCGATGTCAATTTTATCGATTTTTTGCAAAATTTGAGCTAGGGGGCTGGAATTTGGCAGGGGGGTATAATCGAGCATGCTGATCACCCCCACGGGGGTGATCAGCATGCTCGATTACCCCCCCCCCCCTGTGCCAACTCCCAGCCCGTAGCTCAAATTTTGCAAAAAATCGATAAAATCGATATCGATCGATGACGAAAAGTAGCCTATGACACCCGCCGGGGCCCAAGGTGTATGTGTGCCAAGTTTGGTCCCGATCGGTTCAGAAATGGAATTTTCTATTCGGAACATACGTACAGACAGACATACATACAGACAGACATACAGACAGACAGACAAACAGACATTTAGCTACTCGCCCCTCCATTTGTCAAACTTTACATTATTCAGCAGTTTCGGGAAAACTTTACGAGTTTCCCAAAGAGGACACTTCTTTTAGTTTACTCAACTTTCTTTCACTACTTGCTCTGCCGCCAACGTTGTTTGCATAATGACTTTGATGATGTGTTTCGAAGTTTGCGCACGAGTTTTCGGAAGTGGAAATTATGCAAAACACCTCAACTTCTTCATTGTGCATTCCACTCAATAAAACTCCATTTATTTTTAGCTGAGATGCTAAATATCCTAAAAGAAATTGCACAAATGTATGGTTTTCGTGATACTGAATTTTCCATACCTACTAAAGCATGATTATCCGAAAATTTTATGTTGAGCCGAAAGTTCTTTCCGCAGCATTCTTCAAAATCGTAATGCAAACAAAATACATTATAAAGTATCTCTACTTCATAATGTATTTTGCTTGCAATCAGCTCTATTAGGATGGGAAAATCATTTGCTTTTCAATGGCCTTTGACGGTTCCTTAGGCCCCTGGGCATCCCTCACGCGATTCAATTTGCGACGCGATTTGGCAAAGCTCCAATTATTTATAACTCATCATAAGGGTTCTGAATGCACGAAAGATAGGATATTTTATCAACCTAGGAAAGTCATACATGCTGTGCATCTGGGGTCTGCCAATATTGAATTCGAAGACGTTTGGCAAATTGCCAGATCGCGTGGCGACAAATCGCGTAAGGTAAGACTAGGACCTTACTACCCACAAACAGAGATATAATCGAAAAAGGAAAATATCTAGCTCTAGTGAATCCCAGCAAGCCTGATGAAAACCTAGAAACATCTCAAAAATTCGAAACAGCTATTAGCAGAGGTATCTGCTAATAGCTGTTTCGGACCCTCTGTTTCTGGCTTTTAGAATATTTATGATTTCCAAAAATGACTAAATTTTGATTTTCCTGCTTTGCATACTTTTTTTGGAAGTCATAGATTTATAGAAACACTCGCCCAGCATAAACGTTGCTGTCAGAGAAAAAAGATTAGAAACCTATGCTAAAAGCTGTTTAGGGTTTTTGTGCGAGGTTTTTGGATTTTTGACAGGCTTGTTTGAGATCAATTAAAGCTTAAGTCGTTTCTTTTCTAATGAAGTTGTTACCATAGTTCCGAAACAGTGCGAGCGAACTTTCAGTTCAACCCTATATACTACATTTGAATTTCCTGTTTGCCAAATGAAATTATTGTTAGATTATAGGAAATGTAATGATACTCTAGAGACACAGAAAAACATGATTGGTATATGTATGCATCTCATAAGCTTAATGAAGGCAGACAAACTTTCGAGCTTCATCGTCGTCTATACAGAAGTTAGAAAGTCTTTCCATGTTCCTTTTTCTTTCTACATCAAATGGGCTTCCCTCGTCCGCTTTCTTGCCTATTGACAGCGTTTCAGAATTCACAGCTTGTTGTGCCTTGACTTCCTGCTTTTCTTCGTCGCCGCTCTTCTTCAACTTCAAACGCAAAGTTTTGGGTTTTCCTTGTTTTGTTCTTACAAAGCTTACTTCATTGTAAACAGTTCATGAAAAAATATTCTGTTTGCCCAGTGTAAACTCGTGCTATCTTATACAAAGACTGTTTTAGCACTTCTATGGTTGCACTAGGTTGGAAAATGAGTACTAAGTAAAATAATAAGCATGTAAAATTTCGGAAAATTTGTTTGAAAATCTTGAGTAACCATAACTGATAATTTAGCTGTTTTGTTGCATTTTTATGGAGTTAAACTAAAGTTATGTCGCTTTGATATTGAAAAATTCAAAGGTGCTCTCTTATAGACGTATTAGCATAAAAGATTTTTTCAAATGAAAAATTGATCTACTTTCTAATAATGTCTTCTGCTGCTTCTTAAGGACAAGAGGCTACAAAGATAAAAATTCGAGAGAACCACTCCAACTTTCAATTTTCGAAAATAAATAGATAAATCTGGAACACTGCAGAAAAAAATGTCATGCTTTTTTTACAGTTTTCGTAAGCTGCCCGGTCCAAGTTTGCGCTGGTCGTTTTGTATGAATAGTCGCGATTTTCGAAGAAAATGCCAAAAAAATTTTCCGTTTGCTTTAAAATCATAACTTTTCATAGAAAAGCTCGATCTTGATGATTTCTCGATTTATTTTCGAAAATCGAAGAGTTGAGTGACTCTCTTTTACGAAGTTTTATCTCTGGAGTCCTCTGTCCTCAAATATTAGGTCATTCCGAAAGTAATTTCGCTTTCTTCAAAGGGGCGCCATATCTGATGGAACAAAGGTTTCTAAGAGATCTTGGGGGCATTCGATGCAGAAATTCATTTTCTTTCTAATGGTTATGAAAATTTTGCAAAACAGTCGATGAGTTTTCAGAAAATAACCAAAATCTGCGACCTATGCATTTGAGATGGTCAAGTTTCACGATTTTTTTAAACCTTTCATATCAATCCTCAGAAGGAGTTCAAGTAACGATTCGATAGAGCAAACCTCATAGAATACAGTGCTGCTTTTTTCTCTTTTCCATATCTTGTCATACATTTTTAACAGAATTTTAACTGATGCTACTGATTTCCATACTTGGACAGCTAAATCCTAGTAGAACCTCAAAAGAAACAGCTCGCGCACTATTCGATGCAGCATTTTCTCCTCTTTCTAACAAGTGTTTTTCGTTTTTGATTCGTTTAGTTTCCAGGGATAAAATCATCATAACTCACTTTTTCTATGGAGCCCCAGGCTGTACCCGAAAAACTCGAAATTCAATATTTCGAACCTGTAAATCCTCACTTGCTTTGTAAAATTAATGCTAACTCATAGCACCATCTTGGTAGACTCAAATTCCGAAAAATTATGATGTTTGATGCGATTGTGGTTGAGGTGGGCCTGCCAAAATTCGATGGTTCTGTTAAAAAATCTTTCAAAAAATTACAGCGAACTATGAAAAAGGGAAAAAAGCAGCGCTGTATTCTGTTAGGTCGTTCCGAAAATAATGTCGCTTTTTTCGAATGAACGCCACTATTCGTGGAATCAACATTTTCAAGAGATCTTAGAAGCGTTCGATGCAGCACTTCATCCTCTTTCTGATGGTTCTAATTTGGCTGCATAAAGTTTAACGAGCTTTCGAAAAATTACCAAAACCTGCGACTCATGCTCTTTGCCATTGTCAAGTTCGGCTGTTTTTCTAAATTTTTGTACCTATTCTCCGAAGATATGCAAGTGACGTTTAAATAAAGCAAACCCTATAGGACACAGAATAATTTTTCCTTCTCCTGAGCCTGCTTCTTAGAGTCTCTGGAATCAATTTTTCAATGCTATCAAATTGCATATTTGGTCGACTCAAACTACACAGAACAACGACCGGCAAGCAACTAAGGTGTCATTCGACGCAGCTTCTTCTCCTCTTTCTATCAGTTGTTTTTTATTTCCGATTCATTAAGTTTTTCGGGATAAAATCATCATAATTCAACTTTTCCAAGGCACCCCAAGGTGTACCCGAAATTTTCGAAAGATGCTAAACCGAAGCGGTGAATGCTCGTTTGGTTTGTAAAATTGTTGCCAAACCATAATCCATGTTTGTAACTTTCAAAATCCGGAGACTTGCTGGCGTTTGATGCACTTTTGTCTGAGACGAGCCTGCTAAAATTCGGCGGTTCCATCAAAAAATCTGTACAAAAATTATGACGAGCTCTGGAAAGTAGAAAAAAGTTGTGCTGTTTCTTGTACGCTTTGCTCCATCCATCCATTACTTGGACTCCTTTTGAGGTTTGTTATGAAATTTTAGAAAAATTGTGAAACATAGCCATCTTGAAAAGCATAGGTCGCAGATTTTGACTCTTTTCTGGAAGCTCATTGACTGTATTGCAACTACTTCATAATCATTAGAAAGAGAATGAAATGCTGCATCAAATGCTACCAGAATCTCCTACGCATCTTTGTTCCACGAGATGTGGCATACGTTTGAAAAAAGCGACATTACTTTCGGAACGACCTAATATAAGGTTTACTCTATCGAATTGTTACTTGAACTCCTTCTGAGGATTGATATGAAAGGTTTAAAAAATCATGAAACTTGAACCATCTCAAAAAGCATAGGTCGCATTTTGGTTATTTTCTGAAAGATCATTGATTGTTTTGCAACAATTTCATATGAATTAGAAAGAGAATGAAATTCTGCATCGAATGCCTCCAAGATCTCTTAAAAACCTTGGTTCCATCAGATGTGGCGCCCGTTTGAAAAAAGCGAAATTACTTTCGGAATGACCTAATACTTTAAGTGTGTTTTTGAAAGTGGAAGAATTTTTCTTTTTGATGATATTTCTTGTCAGCTAATACGCTCATAGAGGGAGCAGTTATGTATTTTTCAGAAACAAAGCGACAGAACTTCGATTCAACCATATTTAGTAAGTGTCATTATGTATACTAGTTTTCTAAACAAATCAAAAGCTCGAAAACTTTCTACTATTTTTGCAGAGACATGCATTTAACACGATATTTTAGTTGTAAAAAACTTACAAGATCAAAACCAGGAAAGTGGAATCTGTTGGGCTTTTCTCGTTTTTGGGCGTGGAAATGAAAAATGAAACAGCTTGTGTGTTTCCTTTATCTGC